CCCCTCAGCTGTTCCCAGGCCCCTCCCTTCCCGGCCAGCACTGTTCCCTTCCCCCCGCCCATATGAAGCGTGTCCAGTTTTTTTTTTTTCCTTCTTCTTTTTTAAATGACTATCTGGTAATCCCTAGCAGTGATCCAGGTTCTTGGAGCCTTTTTGCTCAATAACTTTGTCCCCCCTCCCACTTTCTTTTTTCCTTCAACAAAATTTTTTCCCGGTGTTTTTTTTTGGGTTAGTATTTTTGTTTCAGCCATCTGGCAGCCCTAGTGGGCAATGGTAAACAAAATGTCTCATGGGCCATAAATAGATCCCCAATAGACCTCATATAGCTCGTGGACCACAGGTTCCCCACTATTGATGTAACGTATTCCCTGTGAAAAGCACAAAGGAATGCTTTAGTGCAGGGGTGGGGAACCTGCAGCCCCGCACTTGCCTGGATCTGGCCCCCGAGGCTTGCGGCTCCTCCCCAGCATTGGAGAGCCTGCGTTGGCACTCCAGCCCCCTCTGCCCCGCTGTCCCACCATGGGGCTGTAGCACTACCGTTACTCCACGTGGAACGAGGTGTAGAGGTAGTTCGAATTAGAGAGCCTAATTCGAACTACCTACTCCGTGCCGCATGTAGCCGCGGGCGCGGAGTCAGCACTAATGGGGATTTAAAAATGGCGGCGCCCGGCAAGATGCAAATGAAGGCCGGGATATTTAAATCCCGGGCTTCATTTGCAACTTCGAATGCCTACCTTAGCCACCCTAGTTCAAACTAGGGTGGCAGTGTAGAGATACCCTGGGTCCTTTAATCAAAGGATTGAAGTCACTGGGACTAAGGATGTTAAATATTGGTTAATTGATAGTCGAGTAACCTCATGAATTCTTATTGGTTAGTTGACTATTCTGTAGTCCCCAGGGGTGGGGCTGGCAGCCAATGCACTCCAGCCTCACTCCCGAGGAGCACCCTGCCATTTTGTGCTGGAGTTTAAAAACCAGCTCCCCTTGCAGACTGGCTGCCTGTCACCCTGTGCTGCTACCTCTAATAAAGAGGTAGCAGCTCCTGTCTGGGAGAGGGGATCCGGACCCATCACAAGCCTGGATTGAGCCAGGCTCCTGGCCAGCCTGCTAAAAAATTTACGGGTGGGGTGGGGGAGAGGGAAATGTGTAAAGTCTATAGCATTAACCTATAAGCTTTTGCATTTCCTCCCTTCCTCCTGGCCACCCT